TTTTTTTTTGCGTTGAATTATGTGTATGTAGCATAACATGCATATATATTGTCCTTGTTACCATTTCATTATCGTTTTGATGTATAACGCATAAAAAGTATTTGCTTTCTAAGAGGTACTAGTGATTTAAAGCCTTCATGTCCAATACATTATGCAATATGTTATAACGCCTTGTGTTACTTCAAGTGGTCTTTGAGCTTACCATGCCGAGGAGGTAGGGAGTAGACGCATTATATGTTCATAGGACTAGACGTAATACCGATACGTAAAATAAGAATGTCCTTAGTAGTGCCACAAGCGGATTGACTATACTTGCAGTATCAAATAGAAAAGATGTTATAGTGAGATTACTTACATTTTTGCAATCTCACTTCAACATCTTCTGCATTTGATACTGCAGAATGCGTTACCGTTTGTGCCACTAGTAAGAACATTATTATTTTAAGTATCGATAGAGATACTGTCTTTATGAACATAGAGGGTCTCTCTCTCAACTCCCCCCCTCCCCTTCTCGGCGTGCTCGGCTCACAGTCGTTCACCTTTTTTTTCTTCAACAAATTAAATGTTTCTCCAACACATTTCAACAAGTTGTGAATCACAACTTCAACATTACTATTTACTCGACCTATGATATAAAAACGGTTCTAAAATCGCTAAGAAAAAGTTATGAATCAACCCGATCAACTGAGCCAATAACAATGAAAAAACGTTCATCAAAATACTCAAACATTTCATAACGTATTGCAACTTTCGAAAAAACGTAGCCCCAACGTAAGCCCAACATTAAAAGCAACATTGGGGAAAACGTAACCCCAACGTTAAAAGCAACATTTATGGATTCGAATGTCCATTGTTTATCGACAGATTGTAACGTTAGTTTTGTTAAAGGAACCATCCAAAATTGTTCCGTTCTCTTTCAATGTTGATTAACCTTATAAGGTTAAATGACAGTCAAGAATCAATCTTCTAAACTGTTTATAAACAAGACAAGGTTAATTAACAAAAAAATTAAAAATTCGAATTTTTTCTATTGTGAAAGCTCCCACCACTCGCTGCATGCTTGCCTTCTAGTAAGATGCCATCTCGTCGTCCTCATGTTTGTCCTCTATGTTGGCGCCGACGAACCACACAGGTAGTTTTATGCCCAGGTCCAGGGTGTTGTGGATGACAGCAGGACTTACGCACGTCCGCCAGTCATCTCCACACCACATGGCGCGGGAGATGTCTGTGGCGACTTGGTTCAACACGTAGCAGTATGCCGCGTGGTAGCCACGAGACCGGCTACCGGACTTGAAGATTCACCCATGGATAATGCGCAAGGCGATGCTCTTCACTCTCGTTGCCCTCTCTTTCGCTGCCTCGGCTCGGATTCGTCTTCCACTTTATGCTTGGGGATGGTGTTGTGCAGGACGGCAATGCTCCGGCGTATGACTGGCGGTTGTAGTCCCTTGGCGATGGCGAGAAGGTACAAGCGTGCCTCATTGATCAACTTATAAAGCCCGTATCCCTCCGTCTCGTTCCAGAATCTGAGGTCATCCACCCACAGCCTCGTCGCCGCATCGATGCCCTCTTTCACATACCCTCGCCGTTGTCTATTCACCAAAGGATCGTCATCGTCTCCATCCCCACGGCCTTCGCCAACTCCAACGCCTCCAGCTGCCCTAGAAGACCCCACCCCTGCCCCACCACCTTGCGCCTCCATCGCGGGGGGGCGCGGTGCTGCCTGCCCGCTCCCTTGAGCAGCCGCGTTCGAACCCCCCCCACCGTCCTTTATGGGCTGCTGACGTGGCGTCGTTGGTGACCAAGACCGATCGCCCTCCGGTGGCGCCGTCGTATGTGTCCCCGTCAATGCCCCCGCCGTGCGCACCTCTGCGATGCTTGCCATGCCACGCACCTCCCTCGGCGCAACACCGGCGTCGACGTCGATGATGACATCCTGCTCGACGATCGCCCAGCGCAGCAGACCGCATGACACCGGCCGGCGACGCCCGATTCGACGGACGGAGGCCTCACGCGGACGGTGACCGTTTGGAGCCGTTGGGGTGCCGGCCAGACGGAGGGCAGGGATGTTCGTGCTCTCGTTTGGTGGACCATGTCTGGACCACCCTCAAACAGAAACTGTGCGTCGAAACATGCCTTCACAGCTCCGAATTTCGCGCTTCCTTGTGCTCCGAGGGACCTCGGGAGGGCCCTTGGGGATTAGGAAAAATTGGCTATAGCCACAAGGAGATTTCCTTGTGCTGTTTTCACTTTTTTTTTTGCGAATCGTCCCCGAGGACAGGTGGAACGAGCACTTCCTTGTGGATTTTGGGTCCAAAAGGAGTGTCTAACGAGGCCCTTAGAGCCTAAGGGTCTCATCCCACCCTACTTACGGTAAGTAAAATATCCATTTTCGGCATATCCCACCTTGTTCCTTGAACCCCGGGGCCTCCGATGTGAACGGACTGATGTGAAAACGGTTTGGGACGTGGTGGATTGAATGTCGGGAGCTCCCTTTTGCCGTTTTCGGAAAAGGAACCGGCCTGTACCCTGTTCCGAAAAAGATGTTTTTTTTTTTTTTTTTTTTTTTTTTTTTTTTTTTTCCTTGTCCGTTGCCGGGCCTGGTTCGTCCGTGGTCTCACTTCTTTGTGGGGCGTGCTGGTGGCACAGGGTTCGGGCCCAGAAATGTCCGTTGGAAATTGGACAAGCAGTCCAACTTCGCGCACCGCCCAACAAAGCTCGCCACCACTCACGCAAGATATCCTTCAATGTCGGGACGGTGGAGTACTATTTTCCTTACGGAATGCGAAAGTTGCAGCCTCTTCTTTTTCGTTTATTTTAGACTTCTACTTACCGTTAAGTAGGGTGGGATGAGACCTAAGCTACTGATCCGACAGTGCTTCAAACGTAAGAGAACCTAAAAGAAACTGAAAAGTTGGAGCCGGACAGTGAGGCTCGTGAAACAAAAACGGGACCCCACAGTACCGCCGAAGAAGGAGGTATGACGACAGCACCACCGCTTTTGAGTGGCCGCTCCCGGTTCCTGCAAATTCCAAGAAGTCGAAGAGGTCCAGCAGGGGGGCGCCTTTCAGCCACCGGCCCGTGTGTGTGGCTTTTTGAAGGTTGTGCGGCCGGTACTGGGTTGTTGGACCTGGACATCACAAAAAAAAAAAAAAGAAAAAAAAAACCTTCTCCATCTTTTGCGTTGCAGAGACCGTTTGCGGCTCTTTTCCAAAATGGTCCATTTTCTTGCGGAATGGAGTCCCCCTGCGCTGTGTGCCACGACACCCCAAGCCCAAAAAGCCCTGCGAGGGTGCCGGCCGCGGAACAACTGGGATCCCCATGAAGTCCAAAAAATACTGTCGGATCAGTAGCTACGATCAAGTGCACTGTATCTGTTCTCATCCCTGGTCCATGGGACCCCACCTCGGCCTTCCCACACCACTGTCGAAACCAAAAGAGAAGGAATGCATCTGCGGCATAAAGTGGTAAGATGCATTCGTTCGTTTTTCGTTTCTACGACGATTTCGAGAGTAGTTTGGCGAGTCCCTGGCAAGGCGCTTAGCGCCTGGCCAGAGCACTGTCGAAAGGCAAAAAAACTATGCGTGCCTCGTCCTCAGGAAGTGGCATGGATGCATGTTCCTCAGAAAGTGCGAAGATGCATCCATCACTATTTATAGCAAGGGATACATCTTGCCGCCCTCTGAGGGAACACGCACTTGAACTCGTTAGTTTCCACAGTGGCGTGGCGGGGCGGGACCCCGGCCCTGGATCTTCCGCAAGAACGGGGACAGATACGGCCGCCACAGCTTTTCGCCTTAGGTGCCCCGATGCGGCTTCTCGCCGTCGCACTCTCGTTGCTCACGGCCGGCCCTGCACTCCTCTTTCGCGTTTTCCATTTTTCGCTTACTTGAAACTTCACTTCTGTTCGCACAGCCTGGCCGGGATTGTGCGCACACCGCGCCACTCGGGAGGAAAGAAAAGAAACACACACGCACACACACACACACACACAGAGAGTAGGGATAGCGATGCTGAAGTGGTGGTCCCCACGAGGCAGATGCTCTCGCCTTCATTCAATGGTTGCAACTACTAGTCAATGGTTGCGAGTTGGAAAGTAATCGGGGAGAGAGAGAGAGAGAGAGAGAGAGAGAGTAGGGATAGCGATGGTGGAGTGGTGGTCCCCACGAGGCAGATGCTCTCGCCTTCATTCAATGGTTGGAACTTGCCAAGTAATCGGGTGATGTCGACGGTAGGCCATGGTTCTTCTTGAAGTTCATCTTTCCGTATTCCTGTCTCTTATACACATCTAGATGTGTATAAGAGACAGCACACACACACAGAGAGTAGGGATAGCGATGCTGAAGTGGTGGTCCCCACGAGGCAGATGCTCTCGCCTTCATTCAATGGTTGCAACTACTAGTCAATGGTTGCGAGTTGGAAAGTAATCGGGGAGAGAGAGAGAGAGAGAGAGAGAGAGAGTAGGGATAGCGATGGTGGAGTGGTGGTCCCCACGAGGCAGATGCTCTCGCCTTCATTCAATGGTTGGAACTTGCCAAGTAATCGGGTGATGTCGACGGTAGGCCATGGTTCTTCTTGAAGTTCATCTTTCCGTATTCCGAATGGACTTCTGTCCCATCTTAATACAGCCCATCTACCGTCTTCCCCCGAACATAACGCAGCCTGATCATGAATGTATAGAAGTTATCTTTCCGGTCCGGTACAGGCAAAATCAGGGTAGAAGACCTTGCCCTGAACGATGATTGAATTGAAAAAAAAAAAAAAAAAAAAAAACAGGGCGCGTTGTGTTCGGGGGAAGGCGGTAGTCAGAATGCCGATGATAGGACATCGTACTTGTTGTTTTTTCTTTTTGAAAGGAAAAAAAGAGTCGTCCCTCGGGACATCTGTTAAAATTGGAACGATACAGAGAAGATTAGCATGGCCTCTGCGCAAGGGAAAAAATAAAAAATAAAAAAAATTGGAACGATACAGAGAGGATTAGCATGGCCTTTGCGCAAGGAAATAAATAAATAAATAAATAAATAAATAAATAAATAAATAAATAAATAAAAGACTCCTCATCCCTGAGCTGTACTACTACTAGTACTATTACTACCACTACTACCAGAAGGGCAAATTCGTCCCTTCCCCC